GGACAAAATGATTACTAGTCATTGCAGAAAGCACAATGAATGTTTTTGTTTATATTGTTGGAACGAGGAAAAATTCCCCCACCACAAAAACACAGAAATACTCATGAAAGCAACCTGTAGTGCAAACACGAGGGCTGAATTTATTACTTCCTGCACTAGAAACCTGCCGATGTTACTGATATGGATAGATCACCAGTCTTTCTGGTCTTTATCTTATTATCTCCTGTTGAGATGTTGCAGCAGAAAATGTTTTTAAAAGCATTAGTATGTCAGAAAGAAAGACCATTTCCTCCATGGGAGTGATAAACTCCAGTATCTGTGGTTTATTGCACTGGGTAGCATTTTCCTCTACATCTACTGCTTGAAAATGATGACGTCACCACTAAAGGTACAGTGTGTTCTCAGGGGAAGTAATGTAATGATGTTGAAAATGACATTTTGCTGTGACTGAAACACAAAAAGGAACCAGTCCCATCCCTACATACACAAGTGGGCATCCATAGCTGCGATTTACCAGGTGGGTGCAGTGTGTGTTGGCAGTGGACTCACTGAGCCTAAGCAGCCATGAATCATAGAGGACTTCATGCTCCCCCATCGTAAATCCACTGGCACCTACCAGCCAGTCACTGTGGGTTTGCCATTGTAGAAAGCTGAATATACAATCTCTGCACAGAAGCTCAGCTACAGTTAATATGTTAGCTCTGTATTTGTTCTATAACCTTCTATCACTGCGTGGTGATGGATACTGGTTGGATATTTTTAGCTGCTTCAAATGTTGAGACAATCAGCTCCATTATCCATTTGCCAAAATTGATTTTTTTAACACAGGTGAAACCAGTTACTCATTTCTAGTAAATCAGTTGCCTGAGAAATTTTCCCTGGGAGCAAAAATGTGTCAAAGAACGACCCTGAAGCTGGCTGAGCTGAACAAAGTGCAGCAAAACTTCATAATTACACAAGATATGTTAATATATCTGCTCTGTTGCATAATTTTGGTTAGGTTGCAATGCATGACAATAATTTTAAAATAATTTTTACCAACTTGTACATGAAGTGGGGAAACTAGTCATTAAATTGCACTGAAATAACAACAAAGAAAAGAAAAGAAAGCTGCCTTACTGCACTAACAGAGAAAATTAGAGCTTCATGAAATTTCCCCTCTTTTGTATTTGACCCTTCACCCTCGGTTTTCCTGTTCTTCTCTATTAGAAGCTGCTCGTTTTAACCTCTGAGTTGGGGTAAAATGTCCTAGCTCGGCATGTCAGACAGAAGGAGAATCGCAGCTGAAACTATATATCATTTTTCTCTGCAGAGCCCTAGCAATGATTGCACTGTAATGTTTTTAATAAACTTCTATAGCAATTATGACAGAAGATTCTTAAGTCATCTTAAAAAGGAAAGTCTCATTTTGCTCAACTGTTTCTGGAAGTCACAGCTCACAATTGAAATGGAAAACATTAAAGGAAAAAAGTACATATTCTTTCATTTCTAAGGTTTGACATATAAGAACATAATAGAAATGATCTGGTTCTTAGTGGGTTTTTATGGCCTCAGATGAACCACAAAGTGTGTGGAAACTAAGAACACCCCATGATTCAGTAGCTTGTAGAAGCAGCAATAACTTTATCAGGTTCTTACAACACTGTTGATAAGGATGTTGGCCCCCTCCGCTTTACAACGTTGCTTCACTTCACTGAGGGTTTGCAGACATTGGTTCATGCACATCTCTCTTAAGGTCCAACCGCAGCATTTCAATCGGGTTGAGATCTAAACGTCGACTGGGCCATTGCAACACCTTAGTTATTTTTTTACATTTATCTTTTCACCTAGCCATTTGGTTGCAGATTTGCAGCAGAATGTGTTTGAGATCATTATTTAATCTGTTATGTTGTTGTTCGTCTGAGGTTGTGTGTACCCAATTTGAGCCAAGCTTTATCTGTCAGGCAGATGGCTTCACAAAAATACTTTGGTACACAGTTCATGGTTGTTTCAATGATTGCAATGTGCCCAGGTGCTGTGGATTTCCTGTGGATGGTCCTTTCTAATTGTACTGCCATGAACATTAGCATGTAACATGCTAGCGGAGGCCTGAAGAGTCTGAGACGTAGCTCTTGGGTTTTGTGCAGTTTTCCTGAGCATTGCACAGTTTGATCTTTGGGCATATTTGCTGGGATGTTCACTACTGAGAAGATTAGCAACTGCACTGAATGTTTTCCACTTGACAATCATCTGTCTCTCTGTAAAATGACGGGCTTCTAATTGTTCGGCCTCATTATGGCCTCATAACCTTTCTTAGATTGATGGGAAGCAACCATTTCTTCTCAAAGATGATTGTTGATGTCTTTTCTAGTTGGTATTGTGTTAACAAACAGCTTTCAGACCTGCAAGCTGACAAAGCTGCTTTTACAGAGATGCGCACACTTGCTGTTGTGAACACCTCTTGATCAAGTGCATTTGATTAGTAGCACCTGGCTGCAACATATCTTCTAAATTCCCATTAAAGCAATAAGGGTGTACTTTTGTTTTAGTTTTCAACACACTGTAAACTGCATTTTGGCGTAGCTTTGTAAAATAAATAATGACATGGTGTATCATATCAGTGTTGCACATGATAACATGTGATATATGTATGTAATATGTAGTTCATCTGACGTTGTATTTACCTCATTTTAAGACCTGCTAAGAAACAGATTGTTTTTATGGTCTTTTTTTTTTTTTTTTTACTATGACTACAAATAAGGATTTTAGCCATCTAGAGCAAGGCAGAGTGAAAGATGGAAAACAGAACATAGAAAAAAAAAAACTGAGGTTAACGTTATTTATTGTCTTAAAATATCTCAAAACACCCACAGATCAAACTGGAAGAGGACATGGACTTACACCCTGTAACAAAAGAAAGACGAATGAAAGAGAAAATCGGAGAGATAAAGGCTGAAAAAAGTAAGTATACCTCTGAAAACACTCTGAAAACTACACACGATTGGACGTTTAACCCTGTTATTTCAGTCCGTGTTCGTAAAGACCCTTTTAAAGTGCACAGCTGTCAGGTGAAAATTCCCCGCTACCTAACACGTCAGCCAAAACTGCCATGCGCGCTCCCGCTGTTTCGTGAACCGTATTTTTCAAAAAAAAGTGTGACGCGATAACGCTGATTGCATTCAAATACTGTAGTAATTTAAAAAAAGAGGGAGAAATATCCTTCATGAGGTAATAACACAAGGTAATAACTTGGCCTTTTTTATTCTCTGTCGTCCTTTCCAACATCTTGAGACAATGTTCCACATTTTGACGGGCTCTGCAGGACATGGCTGGCTTTTAACTAATGCAATATTGCAGTCAAGCCACGGTTCGGCTGTCCAGTGCTATGCTGAAAATTACCATAAAGTCACAAGTCAACATGGTGGGAAGTAGATAGTTTTTTCCATTTCAATGCGGTGTGAAGTGACAGTGTGCGTGTGTGTGTGTGTGTGTGTGTGTGTGTGTGTGTGTGTGAGTATATAAAGACTAATGCATGAAATTATATAGGGAACAAAATTCAGCTTCCTGGTATTATTATCATATTAACTTGATTTGGAAACGTTTCATTTAAATATAATATGTCTGACAAGATAACCCCGGACTGTAAAGGAACACTTTGCACCACACAAACTCTGCTAGTTTGTTGGGGTCTGGTCGCCCTGGTCAGCCTGTACAGTCTGCTTAGTATTTGATATCAAACACAGATGTGGCTAAAAAGCAAATACAGTTTCCACAAAGTGCTGTTCACGGAGTTCTGTTTTCCTTCGTTTCCCCATTTTGCCACATCAGCTGGTGTGTTACGGAATATGACATATTTATTACAGATGATAACTTATAGATGAAAATGGCTTCTATGGTCTGATTAAGTCTGCAGCTCTGCTTATAAG